ACTTGTTACTACTAGTAAGGCACTTGTTACTACTAGTAAGGCACTTGTTAATACTAGTAATGCACTTGTTACTACTAGTAAGGCACTTGTTACTACTAGTAAGGCACTTGTTACTACAAGTAAGGCACTTGTTACTACTAGTAAGGCACTTGTTACTACTAGTAAGGCACTTGCTACTAGTACGTAGCATAAAGTCGATGATGAAAGCAATGCCAAATTCATTCTGGCAAGTGCAATTTGATAACTGGTGTTGAACGTGTGTGAACGCTTGGGCTTTGCCAGTTGAAATCAGAAACGAAACCAGACTCGTTTCGCTTGTTTCATGTATAGTCAGAGCTCCCTTTTTGTTGCATCCGGATGGCCTCAAGCCTTGAAAACGAGGCTTGAAGTCTATATGCGAAACATCTCGAGCCTGTGGCAGATTGACTTAATTAGATTTCAGTTGTCAGGCATCCGCAACCAAATACCGCACTATAACATCACATACCGCACTTGGTCACCCCTGTGAGCCGTCCATGCAAAAGACCAGAATAGTATACAAAAGTTCTTTGATCCAGCGGTGATCCAAAAGGACTCCACCGGTGATCCACTCTCTCCGAGCCCAGGCGCCTAGTAAAGTCGATAAAAACTGCTCGACCCGTTCGCCCTTCGCCTCCGCTTGGAGCTCCGCTCGTGACGTGATCGTTTGGAAACCGCTTCGTGGTTCGTTTTTCAACGCGAGGTTCGCCAACGTCAGATCATATCCACATGTTTTTTGAATGTCTCATCAATTCTCACTGGCTTTGACTTCGGGTCACTGGCTGAGGTGTTCAAAGCTTAGGTTCATGTTTATGAAGTCTTATAGCAAGTCTTCTTCTCAGGAGGATTGACAGACCGCTTTTATACTTCACTTAGGTTGGCATAATGCAGGAAGGCCAGGCCTGTTGCAGAAACCACTCCGCGAAGACAGAAGGTTCAACAACTCCTCCCTGCTCTAGCTGCAAGCGGACCTCATTGCTGGTTGAAGCACTCGGCAGCTTACTAGCAAGCCAGTACTGATCCAAGTGGTTGACAGCTGTTTGCACAATAAGGGGCTGGGCGTTTTTCTGCGGAAGCAACGACTGATTTGACGGATGGACTTTGATGTACTGGTTGCTTGTGACTCAAAGACCCCCTAAAGTTGATTCTATGTTTAAAATCATCAAATCTCCAAGCCTTTCAAAAACCAATATATGCCGGCAAAAAACACACCCTTATGTATATATATATGTATGGTACTCCCCAAAAAAACAAACCAACACTTTTTAAGAAGGACATGTTTCTTTTGGGGGGTAGCATATATATATATATATATGTATGTCCTCTTCTTAGCTCCGCACAATGCAACGTGGTCTTGCATAGGCCGCCCTGTCCACCGAGGTCTCCCCCGCTCGTGGGCGGCGATCGAGGAACTCTCAAGGCTGCAAACGGAAAAAGAACATGACTGGGAGTTACTAATTCTTGTTTCTATTAGCTTCTTGTTACTAGTAGTAAGGCCCTTGTTCCTAGTAGCGATGCCCTTTGCTCCTAGTAGCGTCCTTGCTCCTTGGGTCAAAAACAGTCAATGCCCTACTTCGCGTGTTGAGGATTGCACAATAGTGAGGATTGCTTTTGGGGGGGCTACCCCTTGACGTTCAACACGTTTCAGCCACATTGACCATCAAACGGATCCAGCAATCTACACGTTCGGCCAGATCTGCCACGCCACCGGATCTCCCTCCTCTTCAAGGATTGGTGCAGCCGAATTCCGCCCGATTCCGGTGTCCACAATGGCACCCGGGCCTCTTCCAGGAGTCCGACTCTAAGATTTGGTTCACATCACTGGAGCTCAAGGGCGCGGGCCACTGCTGCCTGTGCATTGAAACAGCTGTTCTAGTAGGACTGGGGAAAGACTTGAGAGAGATGGACATGGATATTTCTTAGTGGTCATCGCTAGTAGGCTGGAGTCTTTTAGGCCGGAGGAGCGAGCAGGAATCAGTTTTCAATTGCTCTGCAATGAGTTGATGTTCGTGGCAAGTCTGACTTGAGCAGTTGTTCACAGCCCGAAAGAAGATTGCAACGAAGAAGAGCAATCATACTTACAACTCCGTAGGCCGAACGTTGAGTTGGTTTTGTGGTGATTTCTGTTGAAGGACCAATACGTTGTGACCCCGAAATGATGTAAGTGTAAACTACTAGCTTGCTCCGTTTGTAGCGATGCCAGGAGCCCCTAGTAGCGAACACTGCTCCTAGTAGTAAGGCCAGGAGCCCCGTTCGTAGCGTCCTTAGTGCTCTCTGTATGTAAATGATTGCATATAATTGATATATAATATACTAATTGACCACCCATCCCCGAGGAAAAAGTAGTTTCCTTCGGTCAACCACCAGGTGATCTCTTCAGCTGGGTCTCCCCTACGTCATGCTCGTCAACGCTTCCTTCCGGGCGGCAAAGGCAGGCGTCAAACCCGCAGAATATGAGTCCCTACGAAACCGGGTGGAGCAGAAATGACTAGCGGAACCACCCCCGCTTCAACGAAAATCATCGAACATCTATGGCAATTGGGTGTGTTTCATTGTTGCTTGGGGCGACTCTCCGATGGAAGACCAATAACTAACCGTTAAGTATTTCTTCCACTGAGGATTCTCGCCTGATTTTTGGGAAGGCTATAGAGGGGCATGGATGTTGCAGAATATGTGGATCCTTAGCATGATAAATGATAAATGTAATCACTGTCCATACCAAGAGGTTGCAATATGCCAGAATGATGCTGGTTTCAACATGTTTCAATATGTTTCAATGACAGCATCTGTCGCCCTAGACGTGACATAAAACATCCAACAAACGGACCAAACGGACCAGCGCCCACCGTGATTCCCACGCGCCCCCGTCCTCCGTTTCAGGGCGTAGCCGCAACATGAGCTCGTGACACGCGCCGTGCTTCGCCTTGATCTGCTGTGCTGTGCCCACCTTGATCTGCTGTCCATGTGACAGGCAGAAGAAGACGAATCTCAACGACATGTCGCCAATTCAGAAAGCACATCATGGAATCCCACCTTAAAAACCACGGCCGCACTGCAATCTGGAAAGGATCAGTTTTGCAATTATATATCCATATGGATTAAGTGGATTGGCCCGAGAACATGGTGCACGACTTTTCCGAGGACCTTCACCTAAGCTGGAGAGCTGGAAGTTGAGACATGGTATCTTTCATCTTTAGGCAGCATGTGAGCGGCTCCCAAAACCTGACCTATAGCATCTGTGAGGTTTTTTACAAAAGTGTGGCAGTCTGGTCACATCTCACCGTAATGGCCTCGTGTCATGAAGATGGTATCGATCGCGCCATGGACGAGTGAACTTAAAAAAGAATGACCACTAGTAGCGTCCTTGTTCCTACTAGCGATGCCAGGAGCCCCTAGTAGCTTCTTGTTCCTAGTAGTAAGGCCAGGAGCCTAGTAGCGTCCTTGCTCCTAGTAGCGATGCCCTTTGCTACTAGTAGCTTCTTGTTCCTAGTAGTTTTGGCCTCCACCCCAATAGCGATGCCCTCCACCTAGTAGTTTCTTGCTACTGGTACTGGTAGTAATGCACCAACTGCTCATCCCTCTAGACCCACGCCCACAGCCATCACCAGGGCCACAGGCCCGTGTTACTGAGAACCCGAGCAGTCAAAAGTTGGCCATCCGCCATGATGCCCAGGCGGTTGGACAAGGCCTGACACCGACAAGGACGCTAAAGGGCAACGCGAACCGAACGGAGCGATCGGACGCGAGTTCGTCGCGGGGCGCTCCTGGCATTACTACTAGGAACAAGAAGCTACTAGGAACAAGTGCATCGCTTCTAGTAACAAGTGCCTTACTAGTAGTAACAAGGACGCTACTAGGTTGGAGGCCATCGCATACGACTTCGAAGCACAAACATGGTTGGCTTGTCGTTTTGGGTCGTTGGTCAATGCAATGCGACTTATTTCTGTGCACGGGTAAGCCTATGCCACTACCTACGCCCCATCTGGGCATCTAGCAGTGCTAGTGCCTCTGCTCTTATGCTGCCTTATGCCGAGATGGGAGTCCTGCAATTCCTACAAGGGACACGATACCATCACTCCAGGATGTTGAATGTAATCTGAAAAGCACACACCTTCTTCCAAAGGTTGCTGCCAAGTTGTATCACTTAAGGCATCTTGTTGTGAGCCATGTCTTAAGCACCTACGCTCCCCTAACCATCAGGAGCTTAAGGAGTGAAAGATCTTGGGCGTTAGACTAAGGTTGCATCATGTTGCATCCCTTTGCTACTCCTGAGGCCTATGCTTGACGCATCTTTGTTCAAACATCGTCGCTTCTCATCACAACCCCCCAGAACTCTCATGAACTCTCCGTCGTCACCACATTACCACACGCTTTCAGTCGCAGTAGCGATGGCCTCCAACCTCATAGCTACCAATAGCTACCTCCTTGCTCCGTTCGTAGCGATGGCCCCACCGTGCGACACCGTGGTCCCATCGTCCTGCCTCGGCCTCTTCCATCGAGTGAGTCGTCAACAGCACCGCGGAGGCCGCCGTCGTGCTGCGCGGAGGCCGTCGTGCGCCGTCGGGGCTGAACGGGTGCTGAACGGGGTGGCCATCCCAAGTGCACCTTACCTGGTACCTGCATCTTAGGCACCCCACCTGCCTTGGTGCGGACAAACCACGGGTGTTTTTCACCGGGGCTCCAGTAAACGTATGGGTGTTGGGGGATGTTAGTCGCGAATCCGGGCTCACAGTCATCTTTTGCGCTGCATCGAGGAGTCGCGGGTCGTTTTCAGGAGGAGTCGCTGGATCGGCGCTTCTTCTCCTGGCACAGCTGGACCAGGGCAGCGCAATTGCAAGTAGCAACTCAAAATAACAAAGCAATCACCTCCAACCTAAGAGAGATGACCTTCAACCCAAGAGAGATGACCGCCAACCCAAGTGAGATTGCCTTCAACCTAATAGCAATCGCCTCCAACCTAAGAGAGATAACCGCCAACCCAAGTGAGATTGCCTTCAACCTAATAGCAATCGCCTCCAACCTAAGAGAGATAACCGCCAACCCAAGTGAGATTGCCTTCAACCTAATAGCAATCGCCTCCAACCTAGAACCTAGAAGCAATGGCCTCCAACCTAATAGCAATGGCCTCCAACCTAGAAGCAATGGCCTCCAACCTACAAGCAATGGCCTCCAACCCCTAAGCAATGGCTTCCAACCCAGAAGCTATGGCCTCCAACCAAAAAGCAATGGCCTCGAACCTAGAAGCAATGGCCTCCAACCCCTAAGCAATGGCTTCCAACCCAGAAGCAATGGCCTCGAACCTAAGAGCGATGGCCTCCAACCTACTATAGAAGAAATACAAGCAACAAAAAGAGAATCAAGCAACTTGGACGAGGGCATAAAGCACTTGAGCAGTCGCCAACACACCCCACGCAGGGACTCTGAGTCCTTGTTTCTCTTTTGACCTCAAACCAGTAAGTCGAAAGACTGTCCAAACCAGCTGAGCATATGCCCGTTGACTGGCTGAGCATATGGCGTGAGCCATTCGTTTTAAGTCACCGGCGTTCTTCGCTGTCATGAGCTCTCTTCACCTGGAGGGACTGCCGGTGTCTCTCAGACGTGAAAGCCTTTGTTTCTAATAGCAAGGCCTCCAACCAGTCCTCCAACCGACTAGCGGCCTCCAACCGACTAGCAATGGCCTCCTCAAGAAAAATGAGAAAACCGGTATTTCTCAGAAGTCTGGCTCTGGGTAACAAGGAACAAGGAACCTGACATGCCATGGATTCAAGATAGATCCCAGACTGAACCAAGCAGCAACACCTTTGGCCAATGCACAACAGCGAGGACCAGCAGCTTGAGAGGCAAACAGTCCAGTCCATGATATTCTGATCTTCTCTTTGATATTGGATGTGACATGCTGTATCGCTGTATCAAATCCCGTTCCGCCTTTTTCTTCCTTCCGCTTCCTCGGATGAAAAAGCAGCAACAGAAACCAAATCTACACCATCAGTCGTGCTAATATGCTTAAGGTCCAGCTCACAAACCAAACGGCCAAGCTCACATGGGTAGACAGGATGTGCGATGACAAGTGTTCCATCTGAACCTGTGCCACTTGAAACAAGCCACCTGACTCGTCTGACGCAGCCTCGGACACTGGAGATCTCGACCAAGCTGGACATGTGTGAGGTTGCACCAAACATAACAAACAGTGAATAGCGATGACCTCCAACCTAGTAACGATGGCCTCCAACCTAGTAGCGATGGCCTCCAACCTACTAGCAATGGCCTCCAACCTACTATTATTTTTTTTAATATATAGATCGCGGATTGAAGTCACCTGTAGGCTGCTTCCAGATTGCACATCGGAACTACCATACGAACTGACGCTTCGCAGTGGCATCAATCAGGCACAGCGCATTGCACAAGAGAATGTAAGTATACCAGCCCTCCCCAAAGTATGGAACTCAAAGTTGGAGGCCATCGCTAGTAGTAGCACGGGAAGCTACTAGTAACAAGGGCATTGCTGCTAGTAGCAAAAAGCTATGAACGGTTGAAGGCCATCGGGTGTGTTCCTTGTCGCCTTTGTCTGCTCTCCCCCGCGATCGGCGGCGCCTTCTTCCCCTTCTTCGCTCGGGCGTTGAACTCCTCGGAGCATGGAACATGTGGAACTAGCCTTTGCACCGCTGGGTTTAACCGACTTTTTTAGCAAAAATAATGAAGTCTATTATAGTTTGCTAGTAGGTGGGAGGCCATCGCTATTAGAAACAAACAAAAGCAAAAAACAAACAAGTATAGTATATATAGGTAGAGAGAGATGTTTGGCCCTGTTAGGCTAACATCTCATTCCTTCGGAACTTCGACTTTGTCAAAAGGGTGGTCGAGGTGGGTGTCCATTTTCAAGCAAGAAGCTTTACTAGGGTGGAGCCCATCGCTAGTAACAAGAAGCTACGTTCGGTTCGCGTCCTCTTGTTACGTTCTTATAGTAATGCCAGGAGTGCCTCCGCTACGAACTCGCGTCCGATCGCTCCGTTCGCTTCGCGTCCGATGGATGTTTACGCCCCAGTGCCTCGGAATTCATGTCCGAGAAGTTGTCTGGGCTTCGTTCCCTCTGTGCCTGCATTCATTTTTTACCGCCGCTGTGCCTTTCTGTGCCTTTCTTAGAAGAACTCGAAGTACAATGGCTTGTGCAAAGTATAGGTGAGGCTATTTCGTGAGAATCCATTGGGCTTCATCCAGTTTTTCCTTTTGACTTATTTCCGGACGTCGCAAAGGTGTTTGGGAATGATTCAAAAACTCAACATGATCACAAACCAACTCACTTATAAACAAGAAACAATCCACTGCAATTGGCGGATAGATCTGCACTCCAACCTCTTCACCACCCAAATCAACATGGATTCCATCATACTAGCGATGGCCTCCAACCTATTAGCGGTGGCCTTATTGACTATAAGAGCGACCTTGCTACTAGCGATGGCCTCCACCCTACTAGTAGCGATGCACTTGTTCCTAGTAGCGTTCTTGTTACTACTAGTAAGGCACTTGTTACTAGTAGCGATGCACTTGTTTCTAGTAGCGACGGCCTCCACCCTAGCGACGGCCTGGACCTTCTTCTTCACTCGTACTTTGACTTTCTTGGGCTTCACGTCTTCTGGCATTGCGAGTTCGCGAGCGAATGAGAAGAGCCAGTTTTCCTCAGTCCTTCACAGTCCTCGCGTGGTACTATTAATATATTACATTACTATTAACAACTCTATTAACATTATATCGTAGTTTATTGTATTAATCTTATAGCTTTTTTAGACCTTATAGTAAATATTATTCATCACGGCTTTCGGAATCGACAAAAACACATCCTCCAATCAAGTGAACACATGTGAACACCATTGTTCCAATGGACTATATATATATAATTATATATATTTGTTTCTACTGATATCTACTACTGACCCTAAAGTTCATTACTACATCTGTTCATTCTTGCGAAACAATCACCAGCACCACTTGGACCTCCACATGTGACGCAACACTCGCTTCGGGATGGACGAACGCGCATGGAGCCTGAAAGATCCGAGAAGTCTTGAGCTTGTTCGACGGCCTGGGAACGGAACGGACGAGAGACACAGCTTTGCGCGACGCGATACTGTTCGTGTGCTTTCGCGATACTCGGGAAGGAAGGGACAGGAGGACAGGACGCGGCTGGTGTCCGATGAAAATCTTCCAAAAACCGTCTACTGATCAGTTCGAAAACGTCGTTCCATACTTTCAACTCAACTTAGCTGATGTGTAATGGGTGATCTTCCAACCGGACAAGGGTTCCGAAGTGAAGCGCCTTCTGTTTCCTCTTCGCCTTCTTCTTATCTTCACCTTAGAGCGTCACATGCCAAGATGATCGGCAGGCTCATCACCAACATCACGTACATTCTTCCCGATGCTTTGGTATCAGCACGCCGATGCTTTGGCCATAGGACTGTGTAAAAATTGATTTGTGTCCAAACGTTTCGATAAGATCTGAGAAGAATCTGGAGGTTGAAAGGATACCCAGCAAACTTTCCTTCCCTGCATTTTTGCTTTTCTTTTGGTCTTGCAAGCTCTTCGCAGCTGTCAGTACTGAGGACTCAGTAATGGCCTGATGCCATACCTGATTCGGAAGAAACAAATCATCTCTAACCGTCGCTACTAGGTTGGAGGCCAACGCTCTTAGGTTGGAGGCCAACGCTCTTAGGTTTGAGGCCATCGCTACTAGGTTTGAGGCCATCGCTAGTAGGTTTGAGGCCATCGCTCTTAGGTTGGAGGCCATCGCTAGTAGGTTTGAGGCCATCGCTAGTAGGTTGGAGACCATCGCTCTTGGGTTGGAGGCCATCGCTATTAGGTTGGAGGCCATCGCTAGCAGGTTGGAGGTTATCGCTCTTTGGTTGGAGGCTATCGCTAGTATGTTTGAGGCCATGGCTACTAGGTTGGAGGCCATCGCTCTTAGGTTGGAGGCCATTGCTAGTAGGTTTGAGGCCATCGCTAGTGGGTTTGAGGCCATCGTTACTAGGTTGGAGGCCATCTGGTTAGGTTGGATGCCATCGCTAGTAGGTTTGAGGCCATCGCTAGTAGGTTGGAGGCCATCGCTATTGCTTGAAGACTGAAGGATGGATACTTGTTTGAAGCACGTAGAACCCATGATCCACCAATTAGGTAGGTCTTTGAACACGGCTCCACTTGGCAAGCTGGCAAGACTGAGTGCGGGTGAGATTATCTCCCAACCTCCAAAATCCTTGATTCGCTCGCGCTTATGGAGCACAGTTTTCAGTGAGGCGGTCATGTACGAATGGTCAAAAAATTGTCAAAAGGGTATTTTGAATGTGGTGCTACTTCCACAAGCTGATGCAGTCGTCATGTCGAACATGTCCAAGTTCAATCATTCTTGAGCAGCGGTGACACGAACAGCTCTTGCATGTGCAAGTATTGGTCATATTTTGTCATGGTAGATCTACAAAACTCATGTGGAGTCGTTTGGAGTTGGGAAGGTAGGATCTATGACAAATGAATTGTGAGATCCTGTGAAACGATGAGATCTATTCTCTCTGTGCTAACGCCGGCAAAGCTTGTATCACCCAAATACCTACAGGCAGGTCAGATCTATACCTAGTGAAACTGACAGTCTTGGAAACAGGCAGCCTTCTTAAGCACTAGAAAAAAACACCTTTAGTCATTTGAGCTTGACCAACTAATTGCCGGGACGGTCTTTGAACACCAAGCACCTTTCAAATGCAAACATGCTGTAAAACCATGTACTGGAATCTCGACCAACCAACCCACCGACCGACCGACTAAGTAGCTAAGTAGCACAACGTACGGGGGGGGTTGTTATACATGATTAAGGGGTGGGCCTCTAAGTAGCTTTCTTTCGATCCAACTACCTAACTAACTTCTTGACTAACTACTTAACTGACTGATTGACTGACTGACTCACTGACTGACTCACTGACTGACTGACTCACTGACTCACGAACTAACATTAACTAACCAGACTCTGGCACATGACAAATGGTGATCTGAGCTCTGTCTGCTTGGACGAGTCTCATGGGAATCATTCACCCTTTCAGGGATCCTCCTCAGGTGGCTCCTCATCGGGATATTCAGGACCTGTGATGGCCGGACCCACTCGACGCCGGACCCACGGCGTGGGTGGGTGAGAAGCGATGGAAAACAGTTCTTGAAGTTCCCTCTGGAACAGGGGGGAATGATGTTTCACTGTCCAACAAGCCATGAAACAACGAGACAACCGAATTGACCCCGCAAGCCGCAAGACTGTGCAAATTGCTAGCTCAACTGTCTGAGACTATCTCAGGAAGGAAGGCCTCATATGCATCCCAGATGAGCATGACATCGCGATCCAGTCACATCAAAGATAGCCGTTTGTGTTTCTCATCTCTATGTTATGCAAATCTTGTTCTTATAGCGTGGTTTTCTCAGTTGGGAGACAGTCCGAAAGTTTTCCGTGCTTTCGACCGCGTAAGTCTCTTTGCGATTTGGCACGCGGATGTTGCACTGGGACCCGCCTGTGCTCAACTTGGGCGAGGGAAGGTTGGGCATGCTGGCCTCAGTGAGCTTGTCACTGGCAAGAACAAAGGATAGAGAAGTAGGATAGCTGCACATCATTTTTTTCCAAGAATATGCGATTGTGATTAAATGGAATTGACTAGAAAGAAACAACAATTTTGCCTTGGTAGTGTGCAAATATTGACCCAATGGCAGCTCAGCTCAAAAGCACAGTATGTTCTGGATGCTTCTAAGATAGTCTGGCATTGTGTTCTTGGCAGCCCTCCTCTCAAACCTGCATCTTCCGACAAAAAATAAGGAAATCCTCGTTGCTCTGCTGGATGCATCCCCATACCTCCTGCCTTGCAATATCTTACACCTCCACATTATCCATTTCCTTAACCAAAATACATCAAAATACCCTAGGCATTCAGAGCAACCCCTACTAGAAACAGCAAGCTTGCTTTCTTAGAAGATCTGTTCTTTCGATTATGTCTTTTCTTCTTCTTCTGCTTCTGCTTCTTCTTCTTCTTCTTTCTCTTCACCCCTTCTTGATACAATCCTTTGTTTCTTCCTAGCTCGAAAACGGCCGTTCTGAGACTTCCGAGCGCTCATCTCTCCTCGCTCCCGGGCGTATTTGCTCCGCCGCGCATCCACGCTACGCTTCATCGACTGGGCGGGCGAGAAAGGGCAGCCGGCCCGGGCCGGCCCGGGGGAGATGGAGCCTCTCTTCTCAAAGCTCCTTGTTTAGAAGGGGAATGTTCAGCTACCTTTCTGGCGAGTCACCATGAAAAACATGGGTTGATAGAAGGATAACACACTCGCAAGAATGAAGTGTATGTTCTTCGTTCTTCATGCTTGTCCTCCAGACAAAGCTAGACTGTGCACAGAATCTGCTTCGGTATTCAGGGATGCCAAAGCATTACGTCGATGCTCCTGCCAAGTCGACACACCTGTTCTGCATGTGGTGAGTTGAAATAACTATCTGATCAACATCAAGCAGTGTGCCAGCCCGTTTGAAGAGAACCCTTGAATCAATGAATGCAAACTGACTAATCACTCCCCTTGACACGCAGGTCAACATGACTGAGAACAATTAAAACAGGAAACACGAAACACACGGCTATGACACAGCATGAATTCTCTGATTTCAATCATACCAACAAAGGTTGCAAAACCCTATAGACTATCCCATAGGTATACCCAGGGTGCTATGAGGTCACTTAACCTCTCTTGGTAGTGCATCTGTCAATCCTGCGACGCATCTGTCAACTCACTTGACCGAGGACAGGCCGGGCCTCTCTCTTTCGACGATCTTCATCTCTAATCCGCATGATGTCGTCGTCATACTCCCCAGCCATGCGCATGGTGTGCGAAGCATTGATGATCTGCATCGAACATGACACGAAGACACAATGTCAAACTGGACTTAGTGACTTAGTCGAAGGGATAGAATCAGGCAATGTGAACGAATTTTTGCATGAAATGAGATATCCATGTCCCAGATGATGATCAAAACCTTCAAGAAATCCAAAAGAAGCAACTTGTGCAGCATGTTATTTCGTACGTGCGAAAAAATACGTGACACGTGACCCCGAGACCATCTAACCTCAAAATATGTTACCAAAAGATCTCTTGCATCACAATGAAGTGTGAGAAGATGTGTCTGCTTTCAAGCAAGGGTAGAAAGTGCTGAGCTTCTGACATAGCGCTTCCGCATGCGATCCCATCTCATCATGTCAGAGGTCCTGACTCGCTTCCCGCAACATGAAGCGGAGGATGTTGCCGGTGGGTGTTGATGCAGGGCGGATTAATCAATGGGAAATCCGTAACATGTACCACGACTCAAATGCAGCAGTCCTATGCCTTTTCGCCCTGTTTGAACCAAATCAGTCGAAAAAAGCAGAAAGACATCGGCGTGACTCTGCCCATCAAGCCCTCTGTATGTGTGGAACATGAGCCATATGATCTGTATTCTGCATATGTCACCAGTCCTAACTAACCACTATACATGCTGGCACCTACTAACAAATCCCCATCACCTCCCTTCCAAACCTCGATGCCCAAATCCAAACATCGATAACCTCTGACCCCACGATACCCCACGTCCGCCCATTCGGGCCGTTCCTGCCTCACGACCGGTTGACATGTCTCGATGTTCTGCAGCAGCTGATGGTTCTCCTTCATGATCCGATAAATCTCCTCCCGCTCCAGAGCGGCCGCGGAAGTAGCGCGCGCGGTCGGGCGCGCAGTCTGGTCTGGTCTGCCCCAAAGAAAGAGCCGAGCCGCCTCCAATTACCAACTCACCACACGAAGGAAAGGGCTTTTGAAGAGAGTCCCCCTTGGAAAATAAGGATCACAAAGACATCGTAGCAATTCCTTCTAACGCATCAACATCTTGCAGTGGAGCAATGCCTCAGAGTCCAATGTAATAAGCCTGAGACTATGAGATCCATGGCATCCATGGCATCAGGTTATGCACGGCCACGCATGGATACGCAGCTACGGCGGTGGGCCAACCCCAGGGCCCCTGTTGCCCAGCCTGCTTACGGCCATCGGCATTGAGGCTGACTGGCCCTTTCCTGCGAACGTGCGAGGCCGCCGCTAAGCAGCTGTGCGAAGGAGAATCTGCCACGAAGACCAGCAAACTTGCTACGTTCGTAGCTTCTTGTTACTAGTAGTAATGCCCTTGTTACTAGTAGCTTCTTGTTACACGCATAGAGCGTTTGCTCAAATCCGTAGCTTCTTCCGTCCGACAGCGGGTGACATCAAACGGTTGTTGGTCCTCTCAGGGACCTTGATGTCCCTCGTCATGATTTTTGCGATCGACTGGATCATCTTGAGATCACCTCAACAGCAACGAGCGAATTGAGCGAATCCATGAAGATTCACATGGTCCTATCCTCGGCTTATGATCTGCATGTCTTCCAGATTGTGGCTGTGGACTCGATTTTCTTTGTCCTTCGTGTGATTTGAAAGCAGATCGCAAGATGCTCAAGATCCTTGTGGTAGCAAACGGCTGCTTGCCCCTGTCACACCATTGATCAAAAGCTGCTGTTTCATGTCATGAGCCAAGCTTCCACAGATTATGCTGGACAGGCTCATAAAGAAAGAGCCAAGTTTCCACCATATGCTGTTGGGCCCCTGAATTCTTGGTAGTTGAGCAAAAACACAGCCTTTCCAACCCTTTAAGCGTTAAACTCTAACCTGCAAAGCTTTGTGGGTCTGTCGGAGGAAAAACTGATTATATGATTATATGCTTATGTGATTATAAACATGAACAGATAATTACAAAATATTACAAATATAGCTTATTGCTACTAAAGCAGACTAAACTATTAGCGGTGGCCTCCAACCTAGTAGCGATGGCCTCCAATCTAATTGGATTATATATATATATATGGGTGCAAGTCAAAACCTCACCTACAAACCATGGGTTCGGTTGACATCCCTCAAACAAAAGAAACAAGAATCTGTTGTTTAGGACGCCGGGGTGGTCAACTAACTCACGTCCCCTGGTGACTCACAGCCATGCACTCCCTGGAACTCAGAAGTGGTTACGTGGACGTCCTGGCCTCGACTGGAAGACCAATGGTCTTCCACAGACCAAACAGGTGCCATCCTGTTTGTTGTTTGGTTTTGTGTGTTTGGGCTCTGTTCTTTCCCTGGCTCGTATCTTCTCAGTAACCCTATTTAATTCAATCAAGGTGACTTGTGTTAATTCCAGGGAGAGGTTCGGTCGTGTTTCGCTTCGCCCGTCGTGCCGTTCAACTCCCGTGCGGCCAGGCTACTGAAGGCCGCTTCGGTGGTCGCGCGCTTCTTGGCGGCGTAGTCACGGCCGTAGAGCTGTAGATGTGGCATCGGAGCCTCTGTTTCCACATGTGCCACTTGAGACCAACGGAATTCGACTCAAAACATGTGGAGTTTTAGAATCAGAATCATAACGTATAATAAACAATATATCAAACTGTCATAGATTGTCATAGCATGACTACAAGGAATTTGACTCCCCTCCCTGACAGTTCTCGGGTTCTGACTTGGTGATTCCGGTCGAGTTCCGAGTTCTGAGTCGAACCCGACGGCGGCGGCCCACGGCGGCCCACGCTCTGTCAACGCTCGGTCAACCCCATGTCTCCCGTGCTTCAAGAGGCGGGAGCACGGGTATCGATGGCTGAGCGCATGTTCTCTAAACGCTGTCGGTGCATCAGCTGGGTCCTACACGCGTCAGCAAACTGAAGGTCATGGGCTCCCGAATGCGGGGCGCCCACCAAAACATTAATACTACTTCCGGAAGGTTAACATGGAACCTGAAAACTACTGGGTTGTAAAGGAAAATAGTCTTCCAAGGGTCCATTCTCAGGTTCCATGTTAATCTTCGGGAGTGTACTACTTCCGGACTCCAACTAGTTTAGGAATCTCTACTGCCACATTCTTCCACCCAGCCATCCATCTGTAAAGACATCGTCTTGAAATGTCTTGAACATGCCCCAAAAATCAAACAACTTTGAACAACGTGCTGTCCTCATGAGCTCTCGCCGTCCAATGGCCGCGTTACCATGCGTCGTATCTGTACGACGATTCATGACACCTCGGCTGAAGATCTATATATGCTCTAGACGAATAGATGGCTGTTGGACCTCCAACCTAATAGCAATGGCCTCCACCCTAGTTGCGATGGCCTGCAACCTGATAGCAATGGCCTCCAACCTACTGGCGATGGCCTCCAACCTACCTAGACGACTGGATGGCTGATGAGTGGTTGCTCATCCACTAAAGGCTTCTTTGGAGTCTAGGTATCCGAGTAGTCTTTTTGCATGATCCATGTGTGTTTTACAAAGAGCCATCCTTCGAAACGAAGATTGGAATATCCAACTTGTTTTAAACAGGATCCACCTAAGCTAGAATAGTCACCAAGGAGTGGGATTTATCACAGGGAATAGAACATGCTTTCGAAGCTGATGAGTGTGAAGTCTCAAACGAAGAAATGCGGATGTCGAGTTGACGTCTCGTTCCCCAAGCAGGGCCGATTCGGACGATGGCTTTTGCACATCGCCCAAGGAACTGCCGGTGCGAGCGTGTCCACGCGCCGGACACACGCCGGAATGGTTGCTCACAGTGATCCGTACGGTTGCTTTTGGATGTGTGAGCTGTGGGTAAAAAGACCAGTGGTCAGTGGCTTGTTGATCGTTGTCTCCCTGAAATGACTTCCCTCCCGTTCTTCTCTGCGAGCCAAAAGGAAAGAGACAGACTACAGTGTGCGGAATCCGCGCAACCGCCTTACATGCGGAAAAAAGAAGACAAACCGCACCGTGAGGCCATCGCGGCCATTCTGTTGGTAAAATATGGGAAAGCTGCCATCGCTAGTAGGTTGGAGGCCATCGCTCTAACAAAAGCCATGTTCCGAGATCGCAAGACGTGAACACATCTGTTGCCGTACTACACTTTGCTTGAACTAGGAGCAAGAAGCTACGTTCGGGGCTCCTGGCCTCGCTACTAGGAGCATCCTTACTTGTTTCTTGATGACCAAATCTCCAATACTAAGCTTCACCGCACCCTTCAGCGGTGTCACGTCACTCCGGGTCGCCCACCAGAGGCATCTGACCTGGTGAGGAGTGCACAGCCTGGCCTCCATCCTACTAGCAATGGCCTACAACCTTAATAGCAATGGCCTCCAACACAGTCGAAAAGTTGGTATAGAGCCCCAACTGACGCTTCCCAAGGCTTAGCCCAAAACCCAAAGGGTTGGAGCTTTTGCGACAACTAGCAGCAAGGATGCCATTAGGAACAAACGGCATCGCCACGAACGGAGCAATGACGCGGCTAGGGGCGCTCCACGCTATTAGGTGGCCATCGCTAGTAGGGTGGAGGCCATCGCTACTAGCAACAAGAAGCCACTATAGTAACAATATAGTAATAATGATGCCTTCGGGTGATTTGTCATCTTTGTGCCCCACCATCGATGTGCCTAACTTAAACACTCTGGATCATACAAAAACCGAACTGAGTTCATCTACCATCATCTACCACTCCTTCAACTCATCGAAAAACAAACACGTGAAGCAGCCGGAATGGTTCAAATCGTGCCATGTCGTGCCATGTCGTGATCCGCTGGGTGCCTGTCTTTGTCCTTCTCTTTACCCTCCTTTTTGGACTTTTTCTTTCTGTGTCGATCATCGCCGATCCAAACCTTGGTAACCAAAGTGCAAAGACCGAATTCGACTTAGCGAGAAGAATTAGAGAACCGATTGAAAGTGCTCCAATTTCTGAGATTAAAGCATAGAAGACCTTCTGGATGGTACATCTTCGTTCATCCAAAGACCATTCCTTGCGTTTTCAGGGCAACGTGCGAAAGTGGAGAGCCACCAAGGCGGCCAAAGCCTTTCCCAAAAGACATTCAAGATGCCATATGGCCTATAAGGATACACATGGATACATGACCAGCAATGGCCTCCAACCTAGTAGCGATGGCCTCCAACCTACTAGTGATGGCCCCCAACCTACTAGCGATGGTCTCCATCCTACTAGCGATGGCCTCCACGACCATTTCCTCATATCAATTTCCTCGCCTGCGATTTGAAATCCTTCAAGCCCTCAGGTGTTATGACTTTCTGCTCGATGACAAATTTTGCAAACCTTGGTGTGAAGACATCGCCTTCGACGTCATCTTACAACAGCGTGTGCTTTTGATCGGTTTTGTGTGGAACACATGCAGGTTTGCTGCAACGGTTGGCTGTCTCATTTCTGAAACGTGTTGACAACGATGATATCTTTTTGGATGGATTTTTGTTGGCAAAAAAGGACACCGTTTCTTCAGCCAGTGAACGACATCCTGCTGAGCCTGTGACTGACAACGCGCTTTGGCGGCCACATCTTCCGGTGCTTGCTCGAATTCAATCTGCGAGCTGTGGTGAATTCATGATGTCCATGGGCCGCTGTTCTTTCAACACAACACATGTCCATCATACGTACGGACATAACCCACTTTCAAAGTGTTTAAAGAAGAAAAAGCTGGCTTAACATGGCTTTTGTAAAAAAGAAAGGAAGAGACAGGAACAACAAACCCAAAGCGTCTCGCACCCTGGCACGGACTCGGTGGTTCATGAATTCGAACAAGACTTCCAACAGATTGGCTTCGTGCTTCGGCCCATGAGCGATTCGCTGGTCTCTGCGATTCAGTACCAAAGATACGCGACCTCCACCACCGTGGTTCCCTCAGGCAGGTTATGTGCCTGAACCTTGGAGCGTCGCCGACGTCGGAATCGGTCGTAGCGATGCACCGTCTGTTACGTAGCGATGGCGATGGCCTCCACCGTGCGTAGCGAACCTTGTTACTATACTAGTAAGGCACCTGTTACTAATAGCGTGGCACCTGTTACTAGTAGCGAACCTTGCTACGAGCTCGAAAAGGAGACACCGAGCTCCCAAATTCTGAGAAGGACATGGACGAAGCTCTTGGTCGACGATCTCCGACCTCCGAGTTCGTGGCCACCACCTTCGGTTTGGACACAGGAAGCATCCGAGTGTTCTAAGTGTGGAACTGATTGGAAGTAGTGGTCACTGGTGCACCTCACAATGCACCCTTCCCACGTTTGCAAGGAGACAAATCAATGTGCGGGACCTCCTCCTTTCAGATATATGCGGGACATACTCAACCTTGACTGTGAATGCCACCTCATGACTTTTTTGCTGGGAGTGTGTAAGTAAAACTCGCTCCTCTGACCACTCTGATGACCAACATGTTAGAGTTGATGCCTTTTCCTTTGAGGCAAAGAACAACTGTACGCTTCGTTCAAGGCATCTGTTCACACTTCTACCGCTTGTGTCGCCGGCACAACAAGTAGTACCCGTTGTCTTCGCTCGCTCGCAGCGTCCGGTCCACCAGTTGTGGTGTCTGGGTTCCTCACTTGACCAGCAGAATATGTCCACCTTTGTTGCCTTCGCTAATCGACTTCAGGTCCTTGCTCAACCTCGCGAAGGACCGAACCGGACCGAACTCGGTTGGGAGAAGGCCGCCCAACCACCCAAGTGGATGCGTTGAAGTGATTGGATGCGTTGAAGTGGGATTGCGTTGTCAAGCTGCGACATGCAGCTGCGTTGTCAAGTTCCCTGAAAACACGTGGTCAAAGGGTCAAAACTTGCCGTCTGTAGTGTGAAAGTGGGCCGAGCATGTTTCGCAGGATAGCACACAAGGAAAGATAGAAGGATTCCAGAAATGGCTTGGGGAGCGTTTGTGTTGTGAGTCTGCGGAAAAACCGGCTAACTTCCAGATTGAAATTGATGCTGTTCGCTGAACGAACCACAAAAAAAAGATGTTGGGTTCAGGCACATGCTTTTTCACTGACCAAAACTTAACTACAAAATTCCTGTCTACGTCCCCAGGGTCGGGTCGGGTAGTCAGTGGCTTCCTCAAGGGTGGGAGAAGGCGTCCTTCCGTCGCCCGAGAGTCGCGGACTTTTGACGAGCCAGCTCCGGTCCTATAAACACTTGCGCGGTCGTTCACTGTACAAGCAAAATCCAGCGCAGGACGCCACACCGATGCGAAGTAGCACTTACCAAACTGATGGGAGGTCGCATGTGGCTGAACAGTGACGTTTTTGGTTTACAACACAATGAAGGGAAACACCATGCCATAAAAGCCTTAGATATATTGCTCGACAAAGCATGGACACCTGTCCTGCCTAGATCAACAGTCCGAAAAACACGTTGATCAACACTCAGTTCCTCCACATCGGACTGTTCCTCCACATCGGCAGGGACACGCTGCACGTCCGCACGAATTGATTCACACGAACCTCCGAAACATCCAAATAGTTTCTTGCTACTAGGAGCGTCCTTGTTCCTAGTAGTAAGGCCAGGAGCCCCTAGTAGCGTCCTTGCTCCTGGTAGTGATTTTAGAGCGATTTGTAGCTGAATACTTTACCTTCACAACGAGGTTGGATAGCCAGGCAGCCTGCTATGATTGCTATGGCTGATCAAATGAAGGCCCAAAAAACTGTCAATTCAGAGATCCGCGTGCTAGTTCATCTGCATCTTTGCTTTGCCGCATGGTTTGACAGTTTATCTTGCCCCACGGTGGAACAACATGGTATAGCATAATATGAGTGTAGCTTGAAGAAGGATTTGCACGATTGGGCTTTTGGAAGGCTGGTTCAACCGGCCGACATTTACACCGACGGCAAATGCAGTAACGGCTGGACTATCTAAACTTGAAACTCAGAGCTTACAAGTTTACCTGGAAAAGTCTCTCAAACTAACTAGGATGGAGGACATCGCTAGGAGGATGGAGGCAATCGCTAGTAGGATGTAGGCCATCGCAAGTACGTAGGATGGAGGCCATCGCTAGTTGGGGGGGCCATCGCTAGTAGGGTGGAGCCCATCGCTAGTAGGTTGGAGGCCATCGCTAGTAGGGTGCAGCCCATCGTTACTAGGTTGGAGGCCATCGCTTCTAGGTCCTAGTGCTATGACCGCTGCTGGTCTACTGTGCTATCCGCTGGGGCACAAAGAACTGTACTGTGACGCTGCATGGCCACCGACCGATTCCCTTCACCTGCTATTCTGCCTGACGAATCTTGTAAACGTTCACAACATTTTGCACAGAGAGACGGAATCCTGTAAGCTCTGCTCAATTTGTGCAGCTTGCAGTGTAATCCACGTGCCAATTTACGGCACACCGATTTCAAACCGACGGCAGGTCCTCGGTACTGGTTGTTTTTTTGTAGAAAAAACTGCCAGATCACAGCGATTTACCTAGGTTCTGCCAGATGACTCGGCATTGTCAAAGTGGAAAGATTGCAAAACCAGCTCGTGCGACCAAGAGCGACCAAGTGCGAAAACAATGCGTTACACTTCTGTACCTGAACTTGCGTCATCGGTGGTGGATCCGCTGTAGCACTGGTTACATATGCTGCGTGGCCGACTGGCCCTAGACAAAATCTCCAAGGCAAACCTTGCATGACTTGGAAAGGTTTGTGGCTGTTTTTGACCCATACGGCTGGATCAATATCGGCCCTAACGAAAGGTTGGACAGAAACGCGTGACTAGTGCATCTTTCTTCTTGGCTCAATGTCTAGCATTGTGACTTCGCAGCGACCAGACAGGGCTGAAATAGACAAATGACGCTCCAAAAACTCAAAGCAAACTGAAAAACAACTCAAATTGCACTCCAACTGCGCTCAAGTCAGAACCAAACTACTTTACTTCGAGCGATCCCCACCCTGAGAGGCGAATTGGAAGAAGGCGGGAGACATGTATGGACAGACTATTGACGTGTGCGCCTGACACAATGTTCTGACACTTGCTCTGGCATCAAGGCTGGTATGTGTTCTGACACTTGTCCTGCCGTGACGTCTGACATGTATTCTGACTTCTGGCATGTACTTCTGACATGTGCTCTCGCACCAATCTGGCATGTGCTCTCACATGAGTTGTGCCATTTGGTCCGACTTTGGTTCTGATATGTGTCCTGACATGTGTTCTGCCATCATACCTGCCACTTGTTCCGACATATGTTCCGACATCGTCTTTGACAATGACTTGGCATTCTATAAGGTAGTGATGCTGGCATTTTAACTAAGTGGCATATCATCTGACACCCTTTCCGGCATGAAATCTAGTAGGCCTTCTAGCATTCTATCTGGCAAATCTTCTGGCATTCTAGCTTACTCGCTGTGACATGACGACATGGCAGGAGGAGGAGGAGGAGGAGGAAGGACGGAAGGCGGAGTGACACGTTTGTTAAAATCAAAAGACCCTCATCGGGGCAGGGAGGAAAAACTCAACAAATACTCAAGGAACAAGGTGTCTTCTTGTTTCCAGGCTTGCATTCGTGAGTTCTATGTCATTCTACGAAACAACTGGTTGTTTTTAACTTGCAGCTTGAGTTTCTCTTGAGTCCCACATTGTTCCTGCTGTTTATCCCGAGTCTCATCTTAGTCTGTCATTTGAGTTGCTCTCACATTTAAGTTTCTCGTTTGAGTCGTTTTGGAGTAGGTTGCGGAGTTTCAATTTTTTCATCTTGATCCTTTGCTGTTTGGGACAATGTGGTCACAAGTCTAGCAACAGCCAATTGAGATAAAGCAGTCGTTTGGAAAACATATTGTGTTTGCCAGTTGCTATGTGTATACTCCATGCGGTTGCCAGTAGCGCCTCTTGACGTGTACATGAGAAACTTTATGAAACTTTTGCCCGTAAAGAATCCTACCTGCCATCATGAGTACGACATCATCTGTGGTCGGAATCTTCCCACCGGAAAGCCCTGTAAGAGTATTACAGGACTAGGAGCAAGGACGCTATATGTATATAATATCCACATTGACATGGATATATCTAGACGGATGGAATTGCTGACTGTACCTGCCACAAAGGACAGAGTTGCCATTCCGGTCCGCTATGAACTGCTCAGGTCTTGGCGGTGTCTGTCTAGGAACACTTGCATCGATTTTTTCTTTTTCCCGAATGCGAAGGGTTCCCGTTTATAGTTGGGGGTCTCGGGGTTGGACATGTGTTTGCATGGCCTGCGTCGTGTCGTCGTCTCTCGTCGTCGTCGCGTCTCAAATTTGCTGCCATTGGGGGAAGCTTTTGCAAGTGACTTTGCATGGATGTGTCACGTGTCAGTTTGCGCCACTATTCCATTGTGATTTGCATGACACCGACATGTCGCGCAAGAAACGTGATGCATTTCGCTGCACAGGCGCAGCGTTTTGTGAGATCCGCAGTTTGCTGCGCAGTGCCATTGGGATTAGTGTTTGGAGAGTCGTGTTTTTGGGGTGTTGGATGTGGCCGTGCCATTGGGATTTGCGTTTCAGGGTGTGGCATCGAAGCTCTGTTTTCGTGACAAGTCTCAGCTGAAATGGCGATTTTGGAGGATGGGAGTGTGCTCTGAACGGGTCGAAATTATTCCAAACGTGTGGTGTGGTGCAAATTTTGTTGAAGCTCACATGCGATGATATTGTCACTTTTCGTGGCAGGCGCAGGACTTCGTGCGGGCTTTGAAGCGTGGAAGTGCGATTCTCGTGGCAGGCGCAGGGAATCGTGAGGCTGCGAGGTGTGAGGGAGGTGACATTTCGTGGCAGGCGCAGTACTTTGTGCGCGTCAGACGTATGGGGAAAGATTCGTGGCAGGCGCAGGGAATCGTGAGGTTGTGAGTTGTGGTAGAGGTGAATGTCGCTGTCACATTGGGATTGGCGTGTGAGCGGATGTTGTTGGAGGGGCTGGAATCGCGAAACTGCTTGGCAGGGCTGCGTGATGTGTGTGCTTTGATGGGTGTTTCCGCTTGACTTTTGGAGGAAGTCTCGTACGAAACGCTCGTTTTGCTGACTTTGACGTGTGAGTTTCGAGGAAGTCTCGTACGAAACGCTCGTTTTGGAGACTTGACGCGCAACCCTCTGCGGAGATCGTGCGTGTCGAGTGCGCGAAATGCA